ACTTTCATTCAAACAAACAAACCACCAAACAATCAAAAAAAAACGAATAAAGGCATGAAATATTGAAAAAAATGAATGAATAAGGTGAAGAACAAACGGATAACGAACGGAAAATCTCTTCCGTTATTTCATCATACATTTTTTGTTGGAATAAATGGAAGGACAAGACAAGCAAGTAAAACTGAAATGAAATGGCCGATTGGCTAGTTTGTAGATGACTGACATGTAGATGGACATCTTTTTTTCTGTTGCCATTATAATAACAATAATATCTGACAGTCGAATAACGACGGAAACAATAAAAAAAATGCACTCAAACTATAAACAAAGTCAATAATCAGAAATGATAAGGGTTTCGAGGATAGTCAATCATTCATCGAACTTTGATGACTTAGCGGACATTTCAGTTGTTCATTTTGATCAGTTCTAATCAAAAGAATTAAAACCACAAAACAATTATCAAATAAATCAATCGATAATAAGAACAATGATGATGAATGCATAAAAATCGATTTGAATTCGAACAAAAGAGTTTGTGTGTGATGGATTTAACGCCATCTATAATCGAGGATAAGAAACTTAATTTTAAACTTTTTTTTTAAATTTTCGTCTCTTTAATCAAATGATATATACTAAAATTTAAATATAAAAAAATGAAATATTCATCATATAAATTTAAAATTCAAAGAAATATTAAAATTTTCAAAAAAAAGAAATACATAAACAACAGAGGAATAAATGATATGGCACGGGAATGAACTGAGGAAATCGAATGAGATTTGGACAAAAATTGGGACTATTTTAGCCAATGAAAAAAAATGTAATCGCAGATCAATTTGGATTAAAAATAATGATGTGATAGAGGCAAAAGAAATTCTTGTTTTGGATAAAAAAAATGAATGAGGGGTGTTTTGGAAAATTGAAAATCTTGGAAATGGCTATACTATTGGGAAGGAGAAATAGAATGGGTAAGGGTAGAAATCGTAAAAAGTCGTAAATATAGTTTTTTTTTTGTTAACAAAGAAGGTTGAGTTTGGTTGAATGAAAGATTTAGACAGTTTTCTATTTTTTTCAAGCTAAACAATATGGGGATGGAATATTGGTTGGAAAGAGAAATTTTGTTTTGATCATAGATTGATTTGATGAATGGAATACAAAAATGGGATGAAAATGAATCGGGTTGGGAAAAATAAAGATGAGGACATTAAGAATATTTGGACAATTTGACAATGATGATAAAAATCGAGAAAAAAATTGATGGTAAAAAAATGAAATGAGAACAATGAGAATGAATGATGAGCAATATATTATGATGACAAAAAGACATTGAGATTTTTTATATTCAAAGCAATGAGGAAGGGGTGGGATGCACGATAAACAAACAAACAAAAAATGATAAACAGTAACAAATGATGATGATTATGATGAGGATGAGTGATGAAAATGATAATAACGAAGACAGAAGTAACGAATAAGCATAATAAATTCTTGCGCACAAACAAACAAACAAAACAAAAAAAAATTCTGAGGTTTTTTTTCCAGATTGCAATCATGATAATAAATATGGATTTGATGCAATTTAAGTAAACATATATAGTTGATTCATATAACAAAATCTGAAACGGATGATCCAGCCATCGTTTTTTATTTCGTAGTTTTTTTAGAAATCATTTTCACAATTTCAGCCTCAATATCCGCCACCTAGTGTCAGAAAATCAAATGATGAAACTTTAAAATTTTATTCAATGAACAAAATATAATTACCACCACCATTATAGCCGCCATTTTCACCACCACCATTACCCCCATATCCATTATTACCTCCATATCCACCATTACCTCCATATCCACCATTGCCGTTATTGCCACCATAACCGATGTCCCCACCCCCTCCGTTATAACCACCACCTGAATTGCCTGCAAATTCATTTTTATTGTTCATATATATTACATATAAAAATGAATTTTCACTTACAATTTCCACCGCCACCACCACCAAAACCACCGCCGTAACCACCTCCACCAAATCCACCACCGCCGTAACCGCCCGAATATCCACCTCCCTGTGATAAAATCAAACCTTAATTTAGATTTTGGATTAGTTATTATACACAACTTACGTATTCAGGACATGGATATGTTGGTTCCTTTTTGACGATAGGCAAAGGAACGGGAAGTGGTACAGGCAATGGAATAATCTTCTTTTTCGTTTTTAAATATGTCAACAATGTTAATATTGGTGAAATTTTTTTCAGGATTTTTTTAGCTTTCAATTTTTTAAATGCTTGGGCTTCGTTCACTTGAAAGCTTAACAAAAGGAATGATTCCAATACGATCAATGTGAGCAACAATAAACCTGGTGACATGAAACACCTTAATGGTGTGATGGCCATATTTCTGGTCAACATTATAAAATTTTTCAAAGATGGTGATGATGATGATGATGATGGCAAATGGAACAATTATGAAAAACGAAATATGACGACAAACGATCAAAATGTGATTTGGTCGGAATATGATTTGTCCATTCGAATGAAACGATCATTTTATACTCAAATTTGTGGTCATCTACAAATCCATAAACATTCATTGTAAAAATTATCTTTACCATATGAATCGGGAGTGTTGCAAAAAAAAGGTAGCGAACAATGAAAAAGAACAATTAAAAAAATGAAACAAAAGAGAAACAGATCCACACCAACATCATCACACTTTGGGTAAAAAGCATGTGAAATTATGTAAAAAATGAAATTGAAAACAAAATGAAAATTCAGGTTACCTTGCTCCTCATCATCTCTTTTTTTTAAGAGTTCAACTAAATCAGATGAAAATATCCCGGCGAGATAAAAAAAAATTCAAATGATGATGATGATGATGATGAGAGAAAAAATCGTTTATTTTTTTTTCTTCTGTTCGTTTAAACAAAAGTCTGTCAAGATGATCGAAGATGTCTCAATAGTGTGAAAACGTTTGATCAAAAAAAACATCCACAAATCAATATAAAGCTTTGTGTAGAACAAATAACAATGACATACAAGACTCACTTGTCGGGTTTTTATTCGAATTTTTAATTTCTAACAAACGATGTGAAAATTAGAGAAAAACACACACACAAATTCGACGAATTTTCGCGGGTAAGTGAGTTTGGACAATCTGGACATAACCACCAGAACAATATTATTATCAATCGAATAAAATTACAATGATGAATTATGTATATATGAATGGACAAACAAGAGATTTTTTTCTGATAAATTGATCCATCCATTCGGTTCATTATTATTAAAATTTTCAAATTTCTTTTTGTTTTAAGTGGTTGTTTTTTTTTCTTGTTCATGCGGTTACAAGTGGTGAAATATTCAAGTGGATTATATAGACAATGTTTGGCAGGTAAAATGGAGAGGAGATGATAATTTGCGACCAAATTATTCGTTGATGATGATGATGATGATGATGATAAAGGCAGCGTAGGTGCTTGACAAAAAAAAATATTAAATCAAAAATAAATAAATAAATAAATCAGTCACTAACTCAAAAACTAAACCAAATGTTTACCGATGACAAAAGGAAAATTATTTAAATGAATAATAAAGAAAAAAAGATTTCGAGCGTCCGGTCAGATTGTTGTCATCATGAAAAAAAAAATTTACTTCCCGAAATCATTTCATTTCGAGGTAAATTCGATCATCCACTTGTTGATCTTTGTTCTGAGCTATTCATCATCATCATCGCCACATTTATGTCAATCATAACCGAGTTTCAAGATGCAATAGGTTTCCTTGTTGATGTTATTGATCGATCATACTTCCTGGGGAATAATTCGGTATATACTATTCGTTCACAAACACATAGACAACATTGGTTGTTTTTGTTTTTCTTTTCATTGGCGCCGGTAATTCGTTTTTTTTCATTCAATCAAAAATTTGACAAATTTTTGATTTAAAAATTTATTTTTTCTTTAATCTTCAATCACCGGCACATCAAAACGATTAATCTTTTTTTTCTCTGATGATTGAACACATTGATTGAGACAAAAAAAAAATACATAACATGGATTATAAACAGTAACCAATCACAATTTCAACAACAATGTCCTTCTAGAAAACATTCAAATTGATCAACTATTTTATATAAATCAAATCCGGTACGGTCTTATGTTTGTGTGTGTGTGTGGCTTATCGATATCAAGCTGTGAGATACAAACATTTGTCCGATTTGTTTCGGAAGAAACAAAAAAAAAAGTAAAAACTAAATGATTTCAATCCAAAGGAAATTTTCATTCACTTCTGGATCGATGATTGTGTCAAAATGTGATGATCTATGATGTTGATAATGATTAGTATTTCCTGGTATGTGCCAGTGTTTGTATATGTTGTCTGTATTGATTGAGAAATTCATGGCTTTGTTGAACAACCCATAATATTCAAAGTTTAGTTTCCTTGTACATAATTGTAAATATTGTCAGCCGATTCCAATCAGGAATTGTCCGATTGATATTAGAGTGAGGTTGATAAAGGAAATTTTTTTTCTATAATTAAATGAAATGTATCATGTATGATAATAATAATCCACTGTGGTCACTACACCACAATATTTACACCAACATTGTTTTGAAATGATTTTGCTTACCATATATTGATTATTCGTATGATTATTTAATTTGTTATCTGTAATTGCCGTTGGACACGTATTGTTCAGTCTGGAACGAAAATGGACATCAATGAACTCAGTCAAATTTTTTAAATTAAAAATAACATGAATTACATGTAATGCAAGCCTGATAAGCCGAATATGGATTGATGATTACACTAATATTTGTTCTGTGAAGGTTTAAAATTTATCATTTATTGATTAGCTTATGGAATTGATATCCGTTACTATGGTAACAGAAAAAAATTATCAATAATGTATATGATAGACAAATCAGGGTATTTTCAATGGCTTATCATTTTGTCATTTTTATCAATATATTTGATAAGTATTGCTAGTATAAAATCGGTTCGCAAAAAAAAAATCATTCACTGTCAGAAAAAAACAATGTCACCGAAATCGTTGAAAATATTGTTCAAGCCTGCTGAAGGCATGGGCCATATTAATGCTGCTATTGGCCTTGCTCAAGCACTTGCAAACCGTGGTCATCAGGTGTTTTTTTTCACCTTACCCATAGAAGTTGGCACATTTAAGAAGTTTGGTATAAATGAAATTCATCTCCAATTAACAAATGAAGAAAAAAAGGATTTGATTGAAAAAAATGATGCTGACAATGATCATCCAATGAAATCGGCTCAAGAAACTTTGGAACGTATGCAGGAAGCTGGCATCTTTTCACATCGGTCATCCATTGAAAAACTGGATTCATATCGATCAATGATGGATGTTCGTGTTCCAAATTCGATCGGTTATCGGAAACATTTACAAATTAAAGAATTATTTCCCCAAATGGTAGCGGCTATAGACGAACTAAAACCAGATTTGATTATAGCCGACTTATGTCATTTTAGTTTGGCGCCATGCATTGCTTATGGAAAAATTCCTTGGATCTTTTTGTACAGTGAAAATTCATTGTCATTGTTTGATTCGCCAAAAGTTCCGCCACCATTGTCGGGTAAGTGAGATAGATATTATAATCATCGATTAAAAATTCATGGTTTTCAATTTCTTCGATTCAACAGGTTATCCTACATATGATCAAACTGGATGGAAAGAGTTTCGCGATAAATTCGAAAAAGTTTACTGTGAAAGTCATCGTTATGCTCAAAATTTGATCAACAAAGAGTTTGGCTATCCAGAAGTGGACGAGAAAATGTTTTTATTAACATCACCTTATTTAAACATATATGGCTGTCCAGAAGAATTAGATTTTACCGATTTAGCTAAACTACCGGATAATTATGTTCGTATTGAAACTTATTGCCGGCAAACTTCAGAAAAATTCGAACTTCCAACAGAATTCAAAACGAAAATTAAGCCTGGAGATAAACTTATATATTTATCACTTGGTTCAATGGGCGGATTTGATGTTGAATTGATGAAAAAATTGATAAAAATACTTGGAAAAACACCCCATAAATATATTGTTTCAAAAGGTATCTTTCATGAACAATATCAATTGGCTGATAATATGTGGGGTGGACCATATGTTCCTCAAACCGAAATCTTACCGATTGTCGATTTGGTCATAACACATGGTGGCAACAATACAGTGGCCGAAACATTGTCATTTGGAAAACCAATGATAGTAATGCCATTATTTGTGGATCAATTCGATAATGCACAACGTATCACCGAAAAAGGATATGGATATCGTATCGATACCTATGGATTCAAGGATGAAGAACTAATTGAAATGATTGATCGAATATTCAAGGATCCACAAATAAAGGAAAGATGTGAGAAAGCATGTGAACGAATCAAGAATTCAAATTCCAAAGATAAAGCTTGTGAAAGAATTGAGGAATTAGCCGAAAAATTATCAAAAACTAAATAATCTATGATGTCAATGGATTTCTGTCAATTTTGTTATGAATATTTAGTTAATAATTAACAATATATAACAATCAGATACTTCCGCTATACATTTATAATGTTCTCACATAATAAAATATAATTGTTTTGCTGGTTTATATTAAATTTTTTATCACTAGATCGATTCATACTAATAAAAAATGTTTTAATAACAAATTATTCTTGAATTGCACCAGAAAGTGACCGATTTACACAATTTAACTTTGATCTCAGTGTCCATGATAAAAAGATGCGACTTTATCTTATCTACAAGTGGTTTTAAATACTAAAATGATGAAACAATTGGTAATAGACATTGAAAAAAATATTGTACTTCAAATGACAAACGAGGAAAAAAAGTACCATTTTAATGAGTAATGTAAATACTGGATATAACTGGATCAACAATTGACATTTGGCTGAAAAACATGAGATAGTCACGTTTATATCCACCAAATAACAAAGTGAATTATAATGGCAATAGAAATAACTATCTTATCAGACAAATCAATTGCCAGAGAAATCGCTTTTATCAATGATTAGAAAGCATTTTACATTAACAGTTATGATGGGTATAGTTTTCATGGAATGAAATAAAAACTGACAATTTAAAATTCTAGCTTGATCAACAAGTGTTGTTTCTATTTGTTTTTTCTCGAATAGTGAAAGGGTTTCAAATTGAATGAAATTGAAAAATATGTCATCTCAACCGAAAAAAATTCTGAAAATTTTCTTTATGCCAATGGATGGTGTTGGCCATATCAATGCCTGTGTAGGAATGGCTCAAGCATTGGCTAAACGTGGACATCAAATTTATTTTCTATCGAATCCAATGTTTGCCGGTACGTATGAGAAACATGGATTCAAAGAAATTGTGTTACAAAGTGATGTCAAACAAAAAATGCTGGAAACAACAAATGATGAAAAAAGTGATAAAAAAGCTCATCCAATCAAGGCATTTGTTCCAATGTTGCAAAAATTGCGTGAAAGTGGCATGCTGTCTGGTAAATCATCGTTTGAAAAGCTTAAAGTTTTCGACCCCGAAGAAGATCATTTTCTTGGAAAAATTTATGAAGAATTGAAAGAAGTTCATCCAAAAATTGTGGAATTGATTGAGCAAGAAAAACCTGATTTAATCATTGTCGATCACTTTTTAGTGCCGCCTTGTATTGCATATGGAAAGACACCTTGGGCATTTTTATTTAGCGGTAATCCGCTATTCATTTTAGAACATCCAGATTTACCTCCCATAACATCAGGTAGATGAAATAATTTAAATTTTAACTTAAATTTATTCATAGCGAACATTGATTAGGCTATCCAACAAATGATCGCAGTAATTGGGTGGAATTTCGTGAAAAATTTTCCAAAGGATTTCCGACTGGAATTCGTAATCAACAAAATAAGCTGAACAAATATTTTGGCTATCCAGAAGTTAGCTCCAATCAATTCATGTTCAAATCACCGTATATGAACATCTATGGATATCCGGAAGAGTTGGATTATACTGATTTGATGACGTTGCCGCAAAATTTTGTTCGTCTTGATGCATTTTGCCGTGATTCACCCGAATCGTTTGAATTACCAGCCGAATTTAAAGCTAAAATCAAACCTAGTGATAAATTGATCTATGTATCAATGGGTTCAATGGGTTCGATTGATGTTGACCTGATGAAACGATTGGTAACTGAATTATCGAAATCACCCCATAAGTATATATTCTCAATGGGTCCGGCTCATGAACATTATGAATTGGCAGAGAATATGTGGGGTGAAGCATTTTTACCACAAACGAAAATTTTGCCAATTGTCGATCTGGTCATAACACATGGTGGTAATAATACAGTTACGGAAACATTTAATCACGGCAAGCCAATGCTTATTATGCCTTTGTTTGCTGATCAATATGACAATGCTCAACGTATCCTAGAGAAAGGTTATGGTAATCGTATGAATGGTTATCTATTCAAAGAAGGAGAGCTTTGTCAAATGATTGATCGATTACTTGATGATAAAGAAATGCAACAACGATGTTTAGCCGCAGCAAAACGAATGAGTGCTTCGAATTCAAAGGAAAAAGCGTGTGAAAAAATTGAACAAATTGTTGAGCAATTATCATCTAAATGATAACTACACTCGAGAAAAAAAATTGCAGTTATCGACAAAATAAGCGACATAAAATATAGAAATCAGATCAGATTTTTCAGTGAAAAAACTTTAATTAAACGTTCATAGATGATGAAATCTAAATACTAAAATTAATATGGACTGAGCTTTGATCCTATACACACAAAATTAATAAAACTTTCCAATGGTTTCCATATGATATGTTGTATTGATAAACAAATGACAAATGCATTGATAGATTTGCAATTTCCTATCAATCAATTAAGCTGAAAACTAAAAATATTAAATGCAGAAAAAATCGACCAAGTTTACAAATGTAATTATCAATTCCCAATTTAATTATTTGTGAGTACGAGAAAAATGCAACAAAATTATCTAAACAAACCTAATCATTTGAAATTGTTTATAAATATGTTTACGATTTCGGCCATCAGTTTATTGATTGACAAATCAAATGGTTGGTCATTTCACAACTGTCATTTGTGTGTGTGTGTGTGTGTGGATATGCTTCTGGTAACACGTAGCTGGCCAGTAACAATTTTTTGGGTATAAAAATACTCCAAACAAATAAAAAAATCGGTTCAAGTTTCAAAACAAATGTATCAAATACATCAAGCAACTTATATTTTATAAAAAAATGGTTCAACAGAAGAAAAAATGAAAATATTTTTTTTGTCGTTGGATGCAGTTGGTCATATCTATGCCTGTGTAGGACTGGCACAAGCATTGTCCAAACGAAAACATTCGATCCATTTCCTAACAAATTCATTGTTTGCCGGAAAAATTAAACAATTTGGTTTCAATCAAATCATATTGATTGACGATGATAATCATCAAAAGATAATTGCCGACAAAGAGAATGAAAAAAAAGATGAGGCACATCCACTTGAAGCTAATGCGGCCAATTTAGAGCGATTAAAAAAAACTGGCTGGCTCAACGGTAAATCATCTTACGATAAGATCCTTCCATTCAATCATGATTCATCGTATGATTTTTTACGAGCGAGATATGAGGAACAAAGATCAGTTCATCTACAAATTGAAGCTTCAATCAAACAAGAACAACCAGATTTAATCATAATCGATCGATTTCTTGTTCCACCTTGTATTGCTTACGGCACGATTCCATGGGCATCATTGTTCAGTGAAAATCCATTACATCTATATGATTCACCTGATGTTCCGCCACAATCTTCAGGTATGATGAACATTGATAGAAGAATCCATGTTTATACTGATTTCTATTCAAAGGCTATTCATCGAATGATCGTACTGGATGGGAAGAATTTCGTGAAAAACATCGAAAAGGATTTCCAGCTGGAATAAGATATTATCAAAATAAATTCAACCGAGAATTTGGATACCCTGAAGCAAGTAAAGACGAAATTTTTCGTATATCACCATACATGAATATCTATGGCTATCCAGAGGAATTGGATTATAAGGATATTGCTCAATTACCAGATCATTACATTAGATTGGATACATTTTATCGTGAAACATACGAATCATTCGAATTACCAAAAGAATTTGAATTAAAACTTTTGCCAGCTGATAAATTAGTGTACGTTTCACTTGGATCAATGGCATCAATTGATGTCGATTTAATGAAACGCATTGTGGACGAATTGTCAAAATCGCCACATAAATTTATTATTTCAATGGGGCCAGGATACTCAAAATATAAATTAGCCGATAATATGTGGGGCAAAGCTTATCTACCACAGACGAAAATTTTGCCAATTGTTGATCTGGTCATAACGCATGGAGGTAATAATACAGTTACGGAAACGTTTTATCATGGCAAACCAATGCTTGTTATGCCTCTGTTTGCTGATCAATATGACAATGCTCAACGTATCCTAGAGAAAGGATATGGTGATCGTATTAATGGATATCTATTTAAACGTGGGGAATTATGTAAAATGATTGATCAAATTTTAAACGATCAGCAAATGATTCAAAAGTGCAAAAAAGCGGGTGAACGTATTTGTTCAAGTGATTCTAAGCAAAAAGCTTGTGAAAAAATTGAACTAATTGTTGAAAGATTGTCCTTCAAGGGTGCATTGATAAAATAGATAATTTACTAATCAATCGTTAATATCAAGTAATCACAATATATGGCTGGCAATGATTTTTATATGAAATCAATTTTCAAGACTTTATTATTATTTATCTAATCTTAATTTTTTACAATCAATCACTCCAAATAAATTGATTAATTTTCATATAAATTATCAAGTTTTTCTATGTTTAAAATTGTTAGATTTATATATCAAATATATGTTTCGATTATGGCTTCTACAGAGACTCGATTGAAAATTATTTTCTTTTCTATGGATGGTGTTGGTCATGTTAATGCTTGTATCGGGCTAGCACAAGCATTGGCAAATCGATGTCATGAAATATGTTTTTTAACTCGTAAGAACTTTGCTGGAACATATGAACGATTTGGTTTCAAAGAGTTGATCTGGGGCATTGAGGACAACACCAAAAACAGTAATGATCAAAGTAAAATTCATCCACTCAAAGCTCAACAAGATATGCTTGATGGAATACGTAAATCTCCATTTCTTTCTAACAAATCATCCATCGAAAAGCTGACATCATTCGGCTGGACAAGAAGATGACTTTATGAAGAAAATGAGTCTTGAGATTCAAGAAGAGCACCCACATATTAAAATGTTAATCGAAAAAGAGCTACCTGACTTGATAATTGTCGACCATTTTATTGTGGCTCCATGCATTGCATATGGTCAAATTCCATGGGCTTTTTTGTTTAGCGGCAATCCGGCTTTCTTTTTCGAATCACCGGATATACCACCAGTTATGTCAGGTTGGTCTTAATAATTTAACAATTGAATTGATTTTAATTTTTATAAAAATATTAAGGTTATTCATCAAATGATCGCACGGGCTGGGATGAATTCCGAGAAAAATTCAATAATACATTCAAATTTGGAATGCGTAGTATTCAGAATTCACTTAACAAAAATTTGGGCTATCCAGAAGTGGATGAAAATCAATTTCTTTTCAAATCCAAATACATGAACATCTATGGGTATCCAGAAGAATTGGATTATACTGATTTGATTACGTTGCCACAAAATTTTGTTCGTCTTGATGCTTTTTGTCGTGATACACCCGAAACGTTCGAATTACCGGCTGAATTCAAAGAAAAAATTAAATCAGGAGATAAATTAATCTACTTATCAATGGGTTCGATGGGATCTATCGATGTAAATCTGATGAAAAAATTGGTAGCTGAACTATCTCAATCTTCTCATAAATTTATTGTTTCTATGGGCGCTGCTCATGATGAATATAAATTAGCAGATAATAATATGTGGGGAAAAGCATTTTTACCTCAAACTAAAATTATACCATTAGTTGATCTAGTCATCACCCATGGTGGCAACAATACAGTTACTGAAACATTTTCTTTTGGAAAACCAATGATTGCAATGCCATTGTTCGCAGATCAATATGACAATGCACAACGTATCAAAGAAAAAGGTTTCGGTGATCGATTAGATCCTTATTCATTCAATGATGGTGAATTACGGACAATGGTAGACCGAATTCTCAATGATAAAGCCATACGAGATCGTTGTGAACGTGCTAGTTTACGAATGTCGCAAACTAATTCCAAGAAAATTGCTTGTGAAAAAATTGAAAAAATTATTCAAGACCTCAAAAACAAAAAGTCTTAAATATGTTTGCATTGGATTTTAATGGAATGATCGATGATAATGATAATGATTCTTCACGAATCGTTTAATGATGATTAGAAATAATAAAAAGTTTCAAAAGATTATATCACAATTTTTTCGCCTTCAAACAAAAATTATCAACATTATAAAATATTCTCATTGAAATTAATGTAATAGATAGATAGATAGATAGTTGATGATGATGATTAGAACCAATGTCCCATTTTCAAACCCATTTTGGTGGAAATGGCAAATCATATACATGGCTATGATGATTATCACTATGATGATGTTGATGATTTTTTGTATTTGGTTGTAAAGTATAGGCGTTATTGGCAGTGTATGCAGCATTTAGACATGATAGTTCAGATATTTGATCATTTCCCATGTCAGTATTAGCATTATTATTATTCACGGTGTTACATTTATTGATACATTGGTCATTATTGTTATTGTTGTTGCTGTTATTAGGCAAATGTGATAGAGCATATGGTGTTTGAAAGTAATGAACCGTATTATTTGTATCGTTAGTTTCGTTAGAATTATTACCGCATAATGTTGCTTGTACCGTCAATAAATTAGAGGAATCTGATATTTTATTCATATCACAAAGTTTCGAATCCAGGCATGTTGTTGTTGATGTGGCCATAGTTGTTGCCGTAGATGTTGTTGTAGAATTATCTGCCAATGACAATGGTATGGATAGATCAAAATTTTTAATATCTGAATCTAGCATTGATTTCATTGTTTGCAGATTGGAACGTTGTTTTTTCAAAGTTGCATAGCCCAATGTAGCTGAATGTATCATTTCAATTGAATTAGTTGAATTATTAGTAGCCAGCATCGTTGGCGTTCCATTAATCATACATTTAGCTGATGCAATCTCATTGTTTACATTATTGTTTCCGTTATTCCCAGTACAGAAACCATAATGGTCAAGATTGTTGTTCAATAATCCGGTACTATAACGTGGCTCATTACTTAAATCACCGGTTGCCGGCGTTGGACAATATGTTGTGGATAATTGATCAGAAATATGGGCATGAATATGAGAAGGCGTTCCATTAAGACTCGTATGATGATGAGAATTGTTACTACCGTTTCGTGCACCAATGGCTGTAAGAATTGTACTTTCAAATTGTTGAGAAGAACGTTTGGTGCCCAAAACAAAACAGGCGACTAGAATTATCACAGTGAGAACTATCACAGAACAAGTTGCCGGTATGACAATGGTCAATGATTGCATTGAACTAAGCGTATTCGCTCCACCGCCTGGGTCCATAGAGCCCGAAGATGCCGATATAGAATTGGCCGATTTTAATGTGCGTGAAATAGTTTCTATTGGTGGAATCGTTTCACCATTCATGGTCAATGTAGCGAACATGTAGGTTTCCTCAGTGGTCCCCATGTCTGTCAAAGCAGCCATGTTAAGCAGATACCATGTTGCTGGTCGCAAATCCACTAATTCAACGAAACGTTGTTCTCGAGGTGAGATTTTCGATGAATCGACAAGCCAATCGGAATCGATTCTCGGTCGATACTTGAGCACAAAGTATTTGATCTCACATCCGTTCACGAGCCAGGCATCCAGACGAATCATTGCTACGGTTGAGTTGACCGTAATGAAAGAATTCCAATTTTTAGGCGCTATCGGTACTGGAAAAAATCGTCAATATTTGAGCCACTTTTGCAAAACTTACCAGATCCTTTGGTTCTAACAGCAATCGCCTGACTAGGATCGCCTTTACCTACGTTATTGTAGGCAATAACATAGAACTGATATTGTGTGCCACACAATAGATTCGTGAACGTGTATGAATTCTGTTGCGAATCAACTTGTCGCTCTTCCCACTCTCCAGATTGGGAAGACTTTGCATACAGGAAGTAACCGGTGATTTCTGGTACGTTCGAGTTGGATGTTTGCTGCTCTGCAGCGTACGAATCGTCGGTTGTTTCGATCGACCAGCTAAGCTCAACTGAATCGTAGTTGACGTTGACCGATGTCAAAATTGGTGCTCGCGGCGGATCGTTCACAAGAGTCTCACCGATGATCTCCTCCGATTGTGGTCCAGGGCCGATTCTGAAACGATGAAGCATGAGTTTTAAACCAAAAATCATTGAAATTCGAACCTATTGAAAGCCTGGACGATGACCAAATACTTTGTCGCGCGACGAAGATCAGTAATCTTCACCTCTTTGCTTTGAGTCGAAGGCTGTAAGGATTTTTCCTCAACAACTTTCTTAAACATGAAGTGTTCATCCAGATCGACCGCTTTGTAGCCGACATAGTAGCCCAGAATCTGACCATTTTGATGATCAACCCGAGGCGGTTGGAATGTCACCTGTAGCGAATGTGCACTTGATGGATACACATGAATGTTTAACGGAGGACCAGATGGTGCTAGAAAAAGCAAAAAATCATCAGCATATCCCAATAACGAATTAGTGTTTCCTAACCTTCTTCTTTAGTTGTGATCTTAAGTGGTGGCATCTGAAATGGACCAAAACCCAATTTGTTTTCGGCTTGAATTCGAACTTCATAGGTGGTCATTGGCTTGAGAGAACGAAGACTGATTGACGATTCTGTTCCCACCAAAGTTTGACGGAATATTGTACCTGGCGGCTTCGATGATGGCTGGTGTAGTTTACCATTTTGTTCGTTTATAATCTGCTGCTGTAGTTCGGCTGTTGCATCCAAATGATGCCATGGAGGCAATGTTTCCAACCATTGGCGATACTCTGCATGAAATGCAATGACCGGGCTGTTTCCAGAATATGGCTGGGACCAAGCAATAACAGCAGACCGACTGTCTAGTTCCAACACGTGCACGTTTTCCGGCTTTCCAGGTGGTTCTAAAATTGAATCATAATAATTGAAGGTTATTCTAGAATCTAGATTCTAGTCAAAGTTACCTTGGACTATCAGTTGAAAGTTGTATTCATCCTTGCCGAAATTATTGGTGGCCAAGCACGTGAACAGTGAAGAATCACGGCGATCGACGTTTGTGATACGGACAATGTATGAAGTGATTGCTCTATCCGACTGACCTGTAACTCGTTTCAGCAATTGATATCGATTATCTGTGTGCAGTGTCTGCTGTTCAAGCGACGGATCCGATGATAACCGATCAAACACAGAGCCAAAGTCGAGTGGCATTCTGTCCTTGGCAACTTGCATCGAAACGGGCAATTCGCCATAGGCATCGCAAGAGAATTCTGTAGAATCTCCTCTCTGAACGGTGTGAGCCGAGAATTTATTTTTTGAAGTGTGCAGGCACTGTGAGAATGAGACGATAAGTGACTGTTGTTGCCTAGTCAAATCTTACCATGGACTTTGAGTGTGATAACTTTGCTCAATCCCGAGCCTACGCCATTGTTGGCTTGACAGAGATAGACGCCGGAATCTTCTTCAGTCACGTCACGAATCATGAGACTACCATTTTCCAGGGTATGCATGTGAGAGTTGCTGACCACAGTGCGGAAGTAATGAACGATAGTCGCTTGTTCTCCGTTGGTTGGACTTATCGACGACGAAGATAGGCCGGAAAAGGAAGCTAAGCTCTGGGATTTGTCATGAGCCCGTTCCCACCAGATTCGAGGCTCACCGCTGGCCGAACAATCAATGACCACATTTTGGCCTTCTATGGCTTCGGTATCAGTAGGCGGAATTTTCCATTTGGGAGGCACTACCGATAAAAAAATAAGTAATGCATTCAGATTCAGCTTCTAAAAATGTAGTTACCGTTGACTTTGACGACAATCGAGTATGTTGTGACAGCTGCCATGTTGGATGCGATGCAGGTATAGTTTCCAGAGTCTTCAGCAACCACTGAAGATATGAACAAGGTGGCCGAAAATTCGTTGGTTACATCCAACTTGACTCTGCGTAAGTCGCTTCTGCTTTGGGTGTCGTGGATAGGCTCACCATCCTTCAGGAAATGGATTAGAACTGGAGAATCGCCCTCGACTACCGAACAGGTAAGCATTACTCGCATGCCTTCTCTAAGATTGGGTGGTGGACTGAAAGGGCTGATGACGGGTGCAACCAGAATTCGAATGAACAGCTCAGCACTGGCCGAACTGGAGCCGTTGGGCCCATTCACCACACAACGGTAAGCTCCTTCATCCGTGTTACGTTCGATTTTTTCGATGACCAGCGTGCCATTCAGCAGCGACTTATGGCGATGGTTCTGTGGCAAACGGTTGCCTTGATCACTAGACGACGACTTTTTGAACCAGACAATCGATTCAAGTGGATAACCAGCCGCCGGACAATGCAGATGGACTGTGTGACCGGAAATGACAGTCAGGTTTTTCATTTGACGTACGAATGCCGGTCCGTAGACGTTAATGCGGCCAGAGTGACTAATCGAGTGAACGTCGTTGGACGCTGTGCACGAATATCTAAACAAGCAAAGTGGATCTTTGAATCTTACAGAAACAATAAAACTTACATGCCACCATCTTCTGCACGAAGAGAACTTATGTTGACGAAGCTGTTGACAATACCGTCGCCATTAACGTAATCACCAACTCGAATTCGTCCATTTTCGACCAATGGAGCACCATCAAGCGTCCAGACAATCTGCGGCAAAGGTGTTCCCGTAGCTGAACATTTGACCGAGAAAGATTTACCAGGGCGCAGTGGTTCCGTGATCGTGAAAACCGTGATGAACGTTGGAGGATCATCAGCCAATGCCAACTCACCACTGGCTTGAACCGATTCAAATTCATTGCTGACGATGCATTGCTAGAGAATAAAACGTAAACATAAATTAGATGTTGTTTTACGTTTTTTGAAATACTCACAAACATGCCACGGTCTTCACGACGAACTTGACGGATCTGAAGCATTCGATCCTGGTGCAATAAATGCACACGATGGTTAGGATGTTGACGAGCACTCGTTGTTGTTGCTTGAGCCACCATTAATGGCCGGGCATTCCTACGCCAATGAATTTGTTGAATAGGCGAGCCTCCGGTTATCGTGCAATTGAATGTGACAGTGTCGCCATCGGAAGCTAATATGTGTGATGGAATCATGGTTACACTCAACGGAGCCTTGACAACCAATTCCATTTCGATGCGATCTTCGCCCAGTGAATTGTTGGCAACACAGACGTAAAGACCAGAATCGGCAACGGTTGCATCACGAATGAAAAGCGAACTATCCACTTGAACGAATCTACCAGCACGACTAAGGCGATATGGTGTTATGTACTGATCTCCGTTGAGCAATTCATTCTTGTCATTGATAACAATTGATTTGTCGTTTGGTGGAACTTGAAATTTCCATACCTGGAGCCGTTGTAATCTGTTTACAGCGATTACCGACGATAGTAAACTATGATGGGAAGACTGGAAATCGTTTGAGGTTGGTGTGGCACGATACCATGTGAATAATGGCCAAGGTTGTGCTTGGGCCACACAAGGCAACTCGATTGTTTGACCAACATTAGCTATTATTATTGGTTTTTCACCACCTCCATTGGTGGATATAGCTGATGTGGTAGCGATAATTTTTGGCGGCATATTCGTCTGAGGTTCTATGAAAAGAAATTAACAAATTTCATATCAAATATAAAAAACAAATCATACCTGTGACGATTAAACGTCCATAATTGGCACTTAGTTTAGTATTTCCACTGAGCATATGTTTAGTTTGGCAACGAAACATTAATTTTCTATGTCGTTCATTATTATTCTGATTTTGTAGTTGTCGTTGAGGATGATGATGGTGATGATCATTGTTATTATTATTAGCAATATGGACATTATCATCAGCATTGTCATCATCATCATTTTCAATACGATGTACATGAAGCTCACCATTCGGCATAACACTATAACGGCCACCTAAATGTATGTAATAATAAGATCAATGAAAGACAAAAAATAAGTGTTTGTGGAATTTGTTTGAAAATAAATCTGAAAAAAACAGCCATTGTAAATCGAAAATTGTTGATGACAATCTGTTTGATACATGAAAACCAGACCAATGTGTGTGTGTGTGTGATAGGCATCTTATGATGTTTTTCTTTTGCACTTTTTTTTCGACTTAAATTCACTATATTTTTCTGGTTTTCTTGTCTTGTCTTGACGTATGGTGATTGGCGAAAAAAACAACATGAAACCAGAATAGTGAAAATAGTGAAATGAAATTCTAACAATCAAGATTGATTGGCTAGATATGATATCATGTCGTGTCGTGTGTGTGTGTGTGTGTGTGTTCGATTGTTGGTTAACAGAATTTTTTTTTCGTTTCTCAAAAAGTGAAAAATCAATTTTTGTTTTTATATACACAACACAGTATAGTTTGTTTGCCTTGATGTGGATGTATTTATTTATTTTTTATTTTTTGTATTGTTTGCCAAGTTTTTTTGTTTTGTTTTCAATTAAACTCATAGCTTGATTCGGTCAATAAGAAGATGAAGCAAAAAAAAAAAATGCCAACCAAAATGATAAGAACTTGAATAAAACAAAAAAAAACTGAAAAATATGAAATTATGAAGGCGTGTCTGTGTTATCATTTTAACGCCTTTTAATATTTGCTGTTTATTTAGTATTGCCATATAAGTTATCTGAAATGAATAACTTGCTTCTTGGATTCTATATTGAAAACGCCTATTTGGCCTGGTTAGTTTTTTTTTATCGTAATTATCATCGTTTCCATGTGTTTGTGTGTGTGTGTGTGTGTGCATTTATAATATCCATCATATTCCGTATGTGGGAGGATTATTGATTTTACTCAATCTTTTTCTTTTCGGTTTTTTTGTGTGTGTGTAATTAGAAAAAAAATATATGAAAGAAAAACTTACCTTTAAGTAGATCGGAAGTAATTGGATGATCATCATCATCATCATCATCATCATCACCATAACGTAACCAATTCGTTACATGAACATATTCACGAACAAAACTTGGTATATGACAACGTAGAATCTAAAATGGATCAAATTAACGTACAGTGATATTTATTAAAAAAAAAAAAATCGAAAAAAGAAAGAATCCAAGAATCCAAAAAATCAAACACTTACGCCTGTATTTCCTTTGATAGCAAAATCATCATATACTTGGATCTCATACGGTTGACGTACGCCTATTCATATATGAATGGAATAATAAATAAATTGAAAAAGTGTTGATTTCTTTTTTTGGAATTTTTACAACCAAAATAAAATCATAATAATAATTTCAAAAAATTGGTAATTTTTCAACAACTAAAAGAATAATAAATTAATATATACATTTTGTATATCATCATGTCTACGAGTTGTGTGTGTGTGTGTGTGTGTGTGTGTAATGAAAGCGAAAATCTTTAATTTATAGCTTGTTTTATAAATTAACTTGTGTAAAAAAAAAGAAACAAAGGCCAAATATACAAGAAATGAAAGAAACAAATGAATGAAAATGTATGTAATAACTAATTGCTCACTATTTATCAAAATGAAAAAGTATGAGATGAGATTTTTTTTTTTTTTTTTTTTTTTTGTAAAGGGTGTTGTTGGTTGTTGTCTCTTGTTGCTGGTGTTGTATGTAATCATCATTATCATTTTTGATGTGATCATTGATGATGGTTGGTAGTTTGAGCCGTAAAAAAAAAGTTCATACAGAATGAAATGATCTTGTTGTCGTTTCATTCTTTCTTGTTGAAATATACTCTCAATTAAGATGATGATGATGATGATGGTCAATGTATCACAATTTTTATTTCTTTTTTTTCTGGTCTATGTTTTGTTCTCATAGTTTCGATTTGTTTCTGGCAGTTGAAATTTCCGTTTCATGTTATTTTCTACTTCATATTCAATTCATTCATTCATTGTATTTAGTTGATGATCTCAATGATGATGAAGATTGGTTCATTCATTCATTCTATCGAACCAACAACAATTCGATGAAGAAGAAAAAGAAAAAAAAAGTTCAGGAACATTCCGTTTCCGTTTTTATATTTCACAATGAAGATGATGTTTATGGTGTACATTTATTAGTATTATTATTATTATTATAATACGTAAAATAAGGACAAAAAAAAAGAATAAGAATCCAAAGTTTGAATTTGGTCCAACAAAAGACAATGACAATGATGATGATGACGTCCGTCGTTTTTTTCTTTTTCTTTGTACATTCTACATTTCAATTTTTTTTCTGTTGTGTTTTGTTTTGTTTTGTTTTGTTTTCGTCTTGTCTTGTCTTGTCTTGTCTTTGCCACAAAAAGACAATATCAGAAACAAAAAAAAAAAAATCGGTGATTTGATTTTTTTTTTTTTTTTTTGAGAATTGATACCAATTTCCATTCGATTTGTGGCAAATTCTTTAATGTTCTAAAGAGACACATTTTGTGTGTGTGTGTGTGTGTGTTCAGTTGATGATAATATAATTTTTTTTTTTTGTTGTAGCAAGTTTAACTTTTGAGTTACGTTATTGTTATGTTGGAATAATATTATCGATAATGATAATTGCTCCCGTCAAGAATACACATCATCATCATCATCGTATGTGTGTGTGTTGGAGAATCATTTCATCATCATCATCATCATAATTATTTTGTTGATGATTTTATTACAATTGACACATAAGTTTTTTTTCCATAAAACATTTGATGATGATTATGTTATGGCAATCAAACACCAAATACAAAATTTCATCCGCTGTTTTTGTCATTTCACCAATGATTGTTTTGTAATCTTCAACGAAAAAAAAATAGTTGTATTTTATTAAATTCAATTTTTTTTTGTCTCCTACGTCATTATCATTATTCTTTTTTTCTGTATAAAAAGATTTCTGCATATTTTTGCAAAAGAATTTCCGATTCTTCAGATTTTAATTTTGCAAAATTTGATTCTTCACTTTGCTTGAGGTTGTATTTGATGTTTGTATCTGTAAGTTATTAAAACCAGAGTGTTTGAGACTTTTTCTTCTTATCTCTCGATCAAGTCAACGAGTTTTGTGTGTGTGTGTAAAATAAGACATCCCTTTATGTTTTCATATCAATTTTCAACCAGAAGTTGACAAAGGAAGTTAAAGCAATAATAATAAAAAGTTTAGCCTGTTCTGGTTGTGAAATCCTCTTCCGGTTGTGTGTCAAACACATTTTATAAAGAGAGTACAATGAGAATATGATCATCATCATGAGGAATTTTGAATTTTTTTTGCCTTTTAATTTTTTTTTTCACTCTCAAATGTCATCAGCATTGTAATAAAAGAAAAAGTTATATAAAAATTCTAGTTAGAGGTTTCTCGTATTATTTTTTTTTTTTTTTTTTTGATGTTACAACACTATCTTCTGAACTTTGGCTGAATTCTATTTTATTATTATTATTAGGTTTTTTGTTGTTGTTGAACAATGTATATGTGATGATGATAATTTGATGAGACTTGGAAAAAAAACTTAACGAAAAATTGTCCCTATTTTTTCTTTTTCTTTTTTTTCTGTTTATTTATTTTCTTGGCCATACTAAGTTACAAGTTGAGTGTGGGGGGGAGAGTGGTAGTTGATGGTGTCATCATTGTCATTATCATCAAGTCAACTTGATGATGACGACAATGAGTTTTTGAGAAAAAAAAAATTGTCATTTGGTTTTATGTCTGTTTTTGGCTCATAATCATCATCAACATATCAGACATACACACACACACATATACTTTGTTTTTTTTGCAAAAATGTTAACAATTTCTCTATAGAGAGAATGGAAAGAAAACTTTAGATAATAACAATGTTTCCATCGGTATGATGCACACATATGCATCGGTGAATAGTTTGTTTATATATTGGCTAGTCGTTGATGGTATTCGTTTTTTGGATTCTTATTTATTTATCCAATAAATACGCTTTAACGCGCGTTTATTGAACGATAATGATTTAAGCTATTAAAACCTAAGGTTTTATGAGAAAAGTGGAAAGCACATAAATGATGTGAATACATATTGAAAGGGAAATATTTTTATACGACTCGATTTCTCTATATATAGTTTTATTATCATTGCAACAAGAAATTTGCATGAATATTTTACTATTTGTAATTGTGAATTGAAACTAATTATTATTGTAGACCAACTTGAAAAACTCGGTCATCTATTATGATGATTGTCTTGTTTGTGATTGTTAAAACAGGTTTGAATATTCAGACAAAAAAAAATATTGACATTTTGTTACCATTTTTTTTTTTTTTGATTCTTTGAAATTGAAAAGATGATGATGAGTGAAGCCATTTGTTGTTGTTGAATGTCTGAATGCCATCACCAGCGTGATATTCGACATTTTTTTTATCATTATTCGCTAGCAAGCAAAAAAAAAAAGATTTTTTATTTAATGCTTCATTTGGTTCATTCGTCCACGATCGTCATCATCATCATCATCATCAGTATGTATAATGGTGAAGAGGGTTGCAGAATTTAGAGATTTTCATTTGAATCATTCATCCGATCCATTCGTTTTCGATTAGATTTTTTTTTTTTTTTGATTTCATCGTCAACAACAGCTGCAGCTATTGAATGCCAGATTCCATAATGTTTTGGACCATGTCCATCCATCCAAAAGATGGGACCCGAGAATTTTTTTTTCGTTATTATTATTATTATTGGATGACCGGTTTGACTTTGATGGTTGTCTTTTTTTTAAATATTATAGCTTTTTTTTCTGAATGTGAAACAATAAGGTTGTTCTTCCATAGTTTTGTGTGTGTCTTTTATCATAGATCTCAATGATTTTTGAATCTATCCCCTTTCCATTGGATTCGAAAGATTCTTGGTTAAAGTGTTTTTCGGTCACACAAAAGACACACACATATAAACGATAAGTGTTTTTTCTCGATCTTTTTTTTCAATTCTTGATTCTGTGTGTGTATATTTGTTACAGTGAAAAAAATACTAAGTGTCAACATCAACATTGATACAAATATAACAACAGCTATTGTTCAAGAGAATGATGATGGCCTCTCTCTCTCTCTCTCTCTCTCTCTCTCTCTCTCTCTCTCTCTTTATGTGTGTGTGTATGTGAGAGCGAGAAAAGAAACTTTTCACAATAAACACTTGAACGAATCAAATCGAAACTTAACCAACAAGAAAAAAAAATAAAAGAAAAAACAACAGAATCATTTTAAATGGAACTATTTGAAATGCTACCGAATGACAAAAAATTTGTTTTTCTTTCCCTTGTTTTTGAATGCCCACCATCAAAATAAACGAAAATTCCTAACTTTTTCTTTTCATCTGTTTTTTTTTTTTTTTTTTTGGTTCAAAGATTTTGGATTCGATGAAATTTCAACAATAGATGACATGACATGTTATGAAAGAAAAAAAAAAAAAAATATTCAGTGCTAGATGAAATGAAAATCAATTCACAAGAAACAATATATTTTTATAGAAATAAGAATGGGGGAGGGATAAAAATAAAGGCCAGAATTTCACTTGAAACTAATGAAATATAGAAATTCAGAAAGAATTGAACATGACAATATCTTTTTTTTTCTCGAACGATGGTGATGAGTAAGCAAAATCATTGATCCAAAATTGTACCCACTATCTCCTGTCCAGCTTTCTTATTCTTGTCATTTTGTTTTCCTTTTTTCTATTTCTGATGACTATCTTGTCATCATCATCATTGATTTTCGTAACAATATTCTATATTACATCAAAATTATTAATTTCAAAAAATGTTCTTATGATTATTATTATTGTTTTTCCAAATTGTGGATTTATTCGCAGAGGATTCGGGTAGATTTTCGAATGAAAATAATGATCCACAGATGTATATGAAATTGGATTTATCCATCCATTGAATGGAAGATCGTGTTCGTGAAATAAAGAATCGATCAATAATGAAAATAAAAATAAAATTCTGAAAGAATTTCAGAATTGGCAACGATATTATTATTATCACTATTTCATAAAGTTTTTTCATCGTATTTATATTTTATTATTTTTCAGAAAAAAAATCGCATAAAAATTAATTCAAATGTGATGATGGCAATAATAATAATGATAATTACAGGCCATAATACTGAACCGGACATCATGTCATGGTCAGGTTTTTTTTCTATCATTATCATTTTGTCATGGTCATAAAAAAATCAAACCAAACCAAGCTTAATAGTCAAAAAA